GAGAGAAAGAGAGAGAAAAAGCAAGGAAATATGGGTAGGAAAAAAAGAAAGGTAAAATAGTTATTAAATTTATGCCACATCATCAAGTATATAGATATATATATATATATATATATCACTGATATCCATAATAACATTTATCGATAGTTTGGCATGTTTCCCATGCTTATTAACATCTATGATCTCATTTTGATAGGCAACTTGTTGCAGGCTTAAATCTTATATGAAATTAAACTAACACGCAAGTGCACATAATGTTAATAAGTAATAAAGTGATAAGTACAAGTGTCGATCTCAAGAGGATTTGGCTATAATTCTTCACTAAATACTAAAATTGGTCAAGCTAACCAAAGTATGGAAAATGATTAAAGACAAACAAATTAATTAGGCTAATTAAAGAAATGCAAGGTAAAATAATATAGAAGCAGTATTTTGAAAGTCTAGGATTATGGTTTCATTTAACATTTCACTTAGATTGTTATTTCTCTAATTACTTAATTCAATAGGGGTTGATGCTAGTCTAGAATCCTAACGCATGTACAAAACTATGTCTAGGTATTTGTACAATTGCTTAGATTAATTGGATGTCTATATGTCTATTGGATTAAATTAAATTAGATTCTTTTAGCACGATTTCTACGTAGACTATATGAGGCATCTAAGCATATGTCTACCTTAATTGCTAATCAAGCACTTAATTTCTAAGTGATATGAACACATATTATCCAAACCTAGGTCTAATCTAAACTAACTTTGTCAAGTCTCATTTAAACACCACAACCATTCAATTGGTGATCAATCAATCAATGGTCAACAAATTCATATTTGAATAAACATCAACATACTCATTCAAAATAAGTAAAAAAGCAATAAATAATCCAAGTTACATGTAGAAATCCACCAAAATCCGAGATAAAAACTATTTAGTTTATCATAGTTACGTCAAAGTTCAATATTTCCAAGAAATAAATCATTTCTACAGCAAAAGATAGAGAGAAAAAGGAAAAACTAGTGAGATAAATGATTTGTTGTAGCTTTTGGAACCAAATCTCCTTTGATTTCCCCTCCTTTCTACTTTTGTAGAAACCTTCTTTTTGCTCTAATAATCTTTCTACTCTAGCCCCCTTTCTTTGCTCAAAAAGTCCTATTTATACCTCCCTTTAAAAGCCTTAAGATAAAAAATCAAAAGTTGCAGATTTTTAAGTCATGTGCTAGTGCCTAGGCACCAAGCACTCTAGAATTCGTATGGGGGCATTGGCATCCCAATGTTGCAGCACTGGGTGGTTGGTGCCTAGGCGCCTAGGCGCCAACTTCTACATGTTGCCACTGTGCAGAATTTGTTGCAGTATTTTTCCTTGTGACTCGATTTTCTCCTACTTCAAAGTTGAACTAGGCAAAGTAATAAATATGAAAGTTGTAGCTCTGCCTCTTATCTTTCCAATGGTTTAAAATCAAGTTTCTTGGATGTTTGAATCCCAATTTATGCTCAAGATACCTTAGCATATTTGGTGAGAGTCTGCACCTAGCCATCCTTGCTTGGTTCATCATTCATTAAGCTTTGTGCATTTGAGAACCCTTAAAAACAAAGAACTAAATCAGTGATGGCTCAAATTAGGACTTTTAATATGACATTGAGCTAAACTTCCTTGAACTAAAAATGATTCAACATGAATTAAACTTATTAATGAAAAACATGAAAACTAGTTAAAATCAATTTAAAAACACAAGGACTTAGCTATTTTTATGCCCAAAATATGTGCAAGATAACTTTATATAATAAAGTTATCACAACCCCAAACTTAATATTTTGCTAGTCCTCAAGCAAAACTTAAAACAAAGAAAGAAACATGAAAGTTGAAAACATCTACTACAAGTTGGTTATAACAAATCCAAGATCACATTTAATTTCCTCATAAGTGATCCTATTTCCTCAACTCAAAGCAAGCATAAATATTATCCAAGTGTACATTTCAACTCAATTGAAAGCATGTGTTCAACTGGATTCTCATGTGTGTATGTAGTTTCTTACAATAAACATCATGTCATTCAGATAGGTTTATGCTTATGCAAAATTCAAATTAGTCACGAGTTTCATAAGTTTGTTTTTCATCTCTCTTTCCACTATTGTAGACTAACACCTAGTCAAGGATTCTTAGGACTCTATTAAGCTTGTAATGTATGACTATGGTCAAGGTAAGATTTTGAAAAATATGTAACTCAAATCACCCTAAGCACATACCCATTCTAGGACCTATAGTGAGCTTTATTTTTTTCACTTCTCCTAATTACCTATTTTCTCTTTGTTTCACCCATTTTCCTTCATTAAACACTTTATTCTATTTTTTTTCATTTTTTGTCTTTTTCTTCTTTTTCTTTTCTTTATCATTCACAGTTTAACACCCCTAAACTTATTTCCTTTTATGTTCGGCAATGGGATGAATAAAAATTTTTGAGTATTTTTCTCAACAACTCCACCTTTTTTACCCTTTTTCTTCATTACTTAGCTCAATTACATTCCCTAAAATAATCTATGTACATAGAAGTGATAGGTGTTAAAGTGAAAGTTATTCAAAGACTAAGGTTAATTAGCTATGTGTTTAACAAAAACAAAAGGAAAAAAATTAAGCTAAAAATGAGGTGACTTACGATAATAGTATAGTAAGGTAAGCTCGAAAAGCTCAAAAGATACAAAGATGATCTAAGTCATTTTCTTAACTAAATGTAGCTTAGAATCGTAGCTCAAGAGAAATCCTAACTAAATGAACTAAAAATTTTGTTAGGATTTCCCTAACTAGATGTATTAATTCATGGCTTATAAAAAAAACAATTTTGTTCTTGGATTAAAAATTAAAATCTGCCTAAAGAAAAGTAACCTTATCCATTCCTTTGGAAATCAACCTTTTGGAAAAATCCAATTATGACAGGCAGCCTACTCCAACATCCCGACCTGTTTTCTATCAAAGATAGGTTGGCATTCCAAAGCTTCTTTAGCGGCTTTTTTTCTTTTCCGTAACATTGAAAAGCGAAATGCTTAGGTAATGCAGAATCAATTCTTCTTTCATCCAACTAACCTAGATTCCAAATCTGTTGACTAGTAGTTATTGGACATTCCAAGCTGACACTATACATCTGTTGGAGTATGGGTCAGATCGCAACTTAAACCTATTACTACATCTATAAGGCTGACTCTTAATTAGAGTTGAGTTTAAATCTTAATCCTACAAAACGCCTAATGTAAAACTGGAAATTAGAACCCTAATTGCATTTAGTATAGTTTCTCTCTCCGAAACACTTCCAAGGACTTGGAGTTTGGAAGTTTGTAGACACAACTCTAGTTGCTATTCTGTGGACAAGAACACAGATAACAAGGATCAAGAAGTAATTCAAGAGTTAAGTAAGAAACAGATGTTGGGAGATACATGACATGAAGCAAGCAGATGTAAATTAATAATGGGAATCAAATTGGTATATATTGGAGTAGATAAATCCTAATTATAAACCTATTGATTGACCTTGGAAATCAAGTAGTTGTTTGACATTCCGAAACGACACTAGATGGCAAAGAGGAATGCAGATGCAGCTATATTTGTGGATTGAATCTTTGATAGCCATATGATCATTGACCCATACATACATGGAGTCTCTTTCTGGCTTTTTTCTTGATTCTCATGGAACTAACTCTGCTTTCCCTCACAGCTGACTACATACCCAGAGCATCTTAACCTTGCTCGTAGCTTTTATTGTGCGTCTTTCCCTCTTTTCTACCTTTGCTTTCTCTTTATTTTTGTTTACAGAAAATTTCAACCATTTTTTTTGCTAAAGAATTGTAAAGTTAACAAACATGAACATGGGACAGCGAGGCTCCCCTGGACTATTATCTCCTAGAATTTCATCCACAATTTTCATATGTAAAAAGAAGGAATCTTTGAGCCACACGTAATGCAGTCACTGCACACTTTCCCGACTTCCCTTTCATGTGAAATGTAATTTTGCTGGAAGTGAAGGGAATCTTTCTTTCCCTTCAACTTTAAAGTTGTATACTGAAGAAAGGATATCAAGCTAGTGCGTCCAAATCTCAAATTAACCAGCTACCAATGTATATGCAGGCAGAAGCATCTTATGATTGTTGGGTAATTGGAATGCAAAATCTCAAAAAGAAAGAAAAGCAGTGAAGATTGTAAGAACAATGAACAGAAGGTTGATTTGGTACCAAAAAAGTAACTACACAATGATAATCAGGATGGGATTTGTGTTTTGCATGGCTACATACCACTCCCATTCTCATCAGGGGACTAACATTCTAAGAACATTCTCTGACCTCTGACAACCCCAATTACAATTTACAAGGAAAAAGATAAAGGCGATTCGCAAAGCATTTCTATTTACCAAAAAGCAAAAGGCCTCCGTATGTCTCCTGTGCTTGCATGCGCATTCGCGCCCATCTCCATTACCTTACAGTAAGTCGGTTGCCAATTTTTTTTCAGTCCAAAGCTGGAGCATGAAAATATGCTTTTCGTTGCAAGAGGTGGGTTTTTTTGGTCTCCCTCGATTCCTTCCTTTTCTTTTCTTGGAATGCATATCGGGTAATCCAAAATGCATTTCTAGGCAAGAGCAAAGCATCAAGAATGAGGCTTAGCCTTCTCTATATGACTAAAACTTGTTCAAAAGATTATTAATTTGTTGGTGGAATTTTAATTGACAGGTTAAGTGGATCCAAACCCATTAATCATTGACCTACTGATTTGCTTTCAATTGTCGTAACATTGATTTTTGTCTACAAAAACCACTTCAATTGTGCTCCAATCAAAAAGAAAAGATGGTGGCTTAAGAAAAGCAAATTAAAGAAGAGCAGTCGGCATCAGCTTTACCTTTATCTTTGCCGCATCCTTTTCCAATCCCAAACAGTGTCTTTAGCACACCCCCCTTTCCCCTTTATTTCTTTCTAGTGTTTGCAAGATTAACCTGAACCCACCAAGTACTAACATCGAACCTCAGCGTTCACACTAAAACCAAAGCTCCAATTCAGTCCTCTCCTCTAATCCCGACCATATCTATAGATATTATGGTGCTTATATTTTCTATGTACTCCATTATAAAAAGAAACGGAGCTGAAGCCTATACAATCACAGAGAAAAGACAAAATCACAATTCAAAGAAGCCAACAAATTAAGATGGAGATATTGTCACAAATGTGGTCTTTCCTGGGACTCCTCACCGTCCTTCAGAACATCTTGCCCTCGCAGCTGCTCTCCCTCCTCCACTCCTTCTACGAGTCCCTCCAAGACCTTTTCACCCCTTACTCCTACTTCGAGATCCCAGAATTCAACGGCTACTGCAGCGTCGATCTCAACGACCTCTATCGCCATGGGAGCCTCTACCTAAACTCTGTCAACCCTTCCGCCACCTGCCGCCGTCTCACCCTCTCTCGCTCCAAGTCCTCCAATTGCATCTCCTTCACTGTGGCTCCCAACCACACCATCCACGACACCTTCAATGGCCACAGCATCTCCTGGACTCACCATGTGGAGACGGTGCAGGATTCTTTAGAGGAAAAACGCAGCTTCACGCTCAAGCTCCCCAAGCGCCACCGCCAGACCCTACTCAAGCCCTACCTCGACCACGTAATTTCAAGTGCTGAGGAGTTTGAGCGAGTGTCACGCGAAAGGAGGCTTTACACCAACAACGGGCATGGTTCGTACGAGTCGGGCTGGGTATCTGTAGCATTCCGTCACCCCTCCACATTTGACACGCTGGCTCTGGAGCCAGAACTGAAGAAGCAAATAATGGAAGACCTCACAGCTTTTGCAAAGGGGAGAGAATTTTATCATAGAGTCGGACGTGCTTGGAAACGGGGATACTTACTCTATGGGCCTCCTGGGTCTGGGAAGTCCAGCTTGATCGCAGCCATGGCAAACTATCTTTGTTACGACGTGTACGATTTGGAACTCACCAAAGTGACAGACAACTCCGAGTTGAGAGCTTTGCTGATCCAGACCACCAACCGCTCCGTCATTGTGATCGAGGACATAGACTGTTCTGTTGATCTGACGATGGACAGACTGTCGAAGAGATCATTACGTTCGCGGGCTCAGTCACACGCAACGATAAAAGGAGATGCTGATCAGGAGAATGGTAGAGTGACGTTATCAGGGCTCTTAAACTTCACTGATGGATTGTGGTCTTGCTGCGGAGAGGAAAGAATAATAGTTTTCACCACCAACCACAGGGACAATGTGGATCCTGCTCTGGTTAGATGCGGCCGCATGGATGTGCATGTCAGCCTAGGCAGGTGTGGGATGCATGCCTTCAAGGTCCTGGCTAAAAACTATCTCAACCTCGACTCCCACCCCATGTTTCAACTGGTGGAGACCTGCATAAGCTCTGGTGGGTCCTTAACTCCAGCTCAGATAGGGGAGGTACTGCTAAGGAACAGATGGAATCCTGACGTGGCTATGAAAGAGGTTGTCTCTGACATGCAGTCGCAGTTGCAGACACAGAACAATCAAGGCGGTGGTGGCGCTGACTACGACGAGATAGCCATGACAAGGTCCCCCGAGAGCGCGTTGGCTGTGGGGTCGCCTGAACTGTGGGACTCATCTCCCACGAAGGTTGGCAGGAACGGGAAGAAATGGAAACAAGGGTCCAGTGCTGGCAGCGCGGAGAAGAAGGTTAATTTTTTGGTGAGGCTAAGGTCTTTGACCAAGTCTGATTGTGACAGAAAAGTCTTGTGACCAATTGCAATTACTAGTGTTTCGGATTTAATTTCGAACTTTTTGTCTTGCACTCTTCTCTGTAGGCTGTAAGTAGCTGGAGGACCGTCTTGCTTTGATGTAGTTTTTAATTATTGGACAAACCTTCTTAATTATTTAAAAGAAAAGAAAACATTCTTGCATTTTACTTTGTCCATCCATCTGCCTTCGGAGAAAAGAGCTTCAATGTAAAAGAGCTTTGACTTAAATATGGGAAACGCTATAGTACATGGCTTCCACACACTAATCTACGTCCTCCACAATACTTCCTCCATTTCATAATTTGCGTTTGAATTAAACCCTTTTTAATATAAACATTTTAGAGTTTTATAGTTTTTCATTTCATTTTTTTTGAAAAAAATTATTTGAAAAGATTTGTAAGAAACACTAAAGTAATTAACTACAGTTTAAATAGCACCGGTATCACTCTTTCTTGCTTATCCAAACTTTCATCATATGGAGGTTTATGTCATTTGCGATAAAATTTGGAGTCATCATCCAATTTTAATGTCCAAACCTATAACCAATAAAGCATCAAGGCCACGAGTCTTAATGTTAACAAAAACTTGATTTGGAGATTTGAGTATGAAATAGCAAAAGAATCAAAACTTCCAACCTCGCTTAAGATAAACTAGTCTTTACTCTTTCGCTTTAGATCAACTTAGTTAAAGATCAAAATTAAAAAGCACGCCTCATTTTTACGTAATATCTTATGTAACTATGAATAAATAATATCTTATCTTGTCACACATGCATTTAAAAGGATACAAGTGGATTGGTTGTCTTGAGTAATCTATTGACATTAACATGATGTAAATAAATTCTTCTAAAATAAATAAAGTAAATAAATAACATGTGTAAACCCTAACATACAAATCCAACTGACATAAAATATTATGAAAACGCCCTTGGAATTGCATGACATACATAGTACTAAATGGCATACCAAAGCTGTTCTTACGACTATATGGCTTATGCACACAAGTTACAATGGCTTAAGATAGGCACTTCCTAAACTACATGCATAGTAGAGACATTTCCTAAAACAAAAAATGGAATACTTCATGGTAATAATCCTAAGACTAAATGGCATATTGTATGAAGATGATCCTAAAATTATATGGAATATTTTATGTCATGGCACAGCAAAACTTTGATTTCAATATTATTAAAATAACTTTAATGACATAATAATGCAATTGCTGTAACAACCCAACCCCCGATCCATTACCAGTACATGAGCCTAGTAGGCGGAGCTCGTAAGACTCAAGCAAGCCTCAAGAGACAATTGATAAGATATAGATGGTTTCAACTTTTAACCCCAAACATCAACGATATATATGTATATATTCACATAAACTTGTTTACATTTGTATTCAAATCTTTTTACACGATCCCATGCCTCGACACGTAAATATCACACTAACTGTGCTACATATTAAACCACCATAGTACTATCAAAGTACTTTACATAAACCAGTACATAGCGCCATACATTGGCATACATTGTGGACCTCGACCCAACTAACCCGACTATAGACAAGCCATACAAACCAAAACCTAGACCAACAGAGCAACATAGAAAACAAGGTACTATCCGATGCCATAATACTTACCAAATAGAAGCTTGCTACTCACTCTTCAACCAAGGCCTCAAGAAGCTACTTATCTACTAATCAATTAATTGGGGTAAGTCTCGTAGACTCAGTAAGTAAGTGAAAAAGGGAAACAAGCATAATAAGGTTGATAATTTAATAAAATATCAAGCTTTCGAAATAGCTTAAACTTTAGCTTATGACATAATGCATTTAAAACCTTTATGTTCATCAAATCATATGATAAATCAATGTACATGGCATGCTGAATTTCATGTGAAACTACCAAGTCAAAACCTGTTCGAAAACCACTTTAAAGCCTTTAATTTTCCTAAAACAAAATCCAAGGTTGATCCTTAGGAGCGAATGGTCAATTCTTGTTGTGGCAGAAATAAGTTGTTTTTCACTAAATATGATAAGATCAACCTATGCAAGAAGGTGAGTCAATCCTGTATTTTCCAGAACCAAAATCATTGCTTTCCATGCAAGTGAAGACCAACCCTTCCCATGCAGAGGGTTGATCCTCAATGTCAGTGTAAAAGTCTCAATGAACAAAGCATTACTCTTAAATTATAAGTTCCAAATCAAAAGTTTTATTAAGAAACATGAGTATTAATAAGACATCGAGACTTACACATGGTCATGTACCTCACTTAGGGAGTGGGCAATCGATCTCATGGATTGAAGGATAGGGATACTTGAACTAACACATGGGTGCTTGTTACAAGAACAAGTTCACTAAACATGACCCTCTACGAGAATTTCATATGGCATTTCACACAAGTGTTTATGGATAAATTCTCACAAGACAGTTGTGTAAATGATCATTAGACTCGAGGTCATTTAGTTACCTTATGTGTGAAATGTTATGCTTTGATACAATCTAAAATGGTCATAGCTAAAGATGTTAAAAAATGCATGGACATTAGATATAGCATGAGACACATGAAGTTAACTCAATTATCAATAAAGGATTCATCACCTAAAATGAATATAAGAGAAATAACTCATTTGAGACTTCAATAGTAATAACACATGAAAATCCTTACCCAAAGTAATTAGAGAATTAAACAAAAGAGTTTTCGCCCTATCTAAAAATGAGTTTGGTTTTTTTTAAAAAAAATGAGAATAAATTCATTTCATTAAAATAAAGAGAGCAAGGAAGATCACTTGCTATTACAAACCAAAAGTCTATAGATACCAAAAACTACTCTGTAGAAAATGCACCCTCAGAACCCCACCACATGTACATTTCTCATACCACTAGGAGGTTAACATGACCTCCATCATCCTATCTAGTTATGCAAGACTCTGTGAAGACACAAAAACCATCTTTTATACAAAAGTTATAGTTTGTATACACAAAATCAAAACTCCCGCCCCCCTCGCCTTCTTTTATAGTTGATTCAAGTGTTGAAATGGTAAGGACAAAATTAAAGCAGATATTATACTATGCTCTAAGTGTTCTAAGATATTAGATGATAAAAGGATAATAATTACTATAAGACTATTCACTATAAGGTTGAGTCAAACCATTATAATTATTTTTAACATTTAGATAGTCATGATATATAGTTAGATGCCAACCTTGACTTATAAGTAGAACTAATCAATTGGAAATTGGTAATGAATGCAAACTAGTACCCGTACTAAAAAAAACTCAATATGACCCCTAAAATTTCATTCAGTCTTCTAAAGTGCATCTTAATGTTTAACACAATTTTAAAAAATCTAATGACGTGTAAATAGGCCATCATAATACATCATTTGATCAAAAAATATCATGTCACTTTGTGTAAATGACTATGATAGATAGTGGCAGACATGTGGCATGATCCCATTTGTTTGAAGTTTCAAAATTTTTATTTTAACAAAATTAAAAAAGTTTAAAATTTTATTTTTTATATTTTGAGAAATAAAAACAAAAAATTTAGGCTAAACATCACATACACCATGTAACACCCCTAATCTTGATGTTAGGCATTCATGATACTAGACTAGCTTACAGTTTGATGAGAACCTCAATGCCTATGGTTATGAGCTTGATGAATGCTTAGGTCCATAGACAGAGATGGTCATGAAATGAATGAGTGTGTAAAAGCTAAAATGATGTTGTCCATACGCTTGGCACATGAATGATATAATGCATATGTTTGGCACTAAATTGAGCATGATATGTATATAAATTGCACCATGTTAATTGATATGTTATGCGACATAAGGCATGAATGAGAGATTGGTGTGTATGATACACATGTGTGTTGATTTAAGTGAAATATGAATGCTTGAAGGTTGTGGGGAAGATTTCAAATGAGTTTACACTGTAACACTCCGTACTCTCATATAGAAGTCAATAAGACCTTATCGATAAGACGAAGGGTCAATTGACGTTAATTTAAGTTTCAAAGAGCGGTGATGAGTAGAAGGAATATTCTAGAATAAAATATTTCGCACGTAAGAAAATAATAAAAAAATAATAATATGTTATCAGTGGTGAATTAGCGAGTTAAAAGGTAATTTGGAAGTGAACTAGGATAAAGTGAGACACTTTGGGACCCGAGGAGACAAGTAAAGAATTTGAGAGTAAAATAATATTTTATTAATAAAATAATATTAAAATATTCATATTTTATCTATTATTGAAATTAGTCTTGAAAGAGGAATATATGACTAATCTACATGGGAGAGAAAAAGTAAGAAAGAATTTTGAAGAAAAATAATATTAGTGGGGCCCATGTGTCTTTATTAAATAAAGTTAAAGCAGATAAGTATATATTTAAATATTATGGTGACACCTTGATGAAGTGTAAATTTTATATTTTATTTGTACAAGTGTAAAGGAAGGAAAATAGAAGAAAATTGGAATTAAAGAAATGTTGGAAGGACCAAATTGTAAAAGATGAAAAGTTTGGAGTGTCAAATGGTAAAGAAGGAAAATTTTGAAGACTTATGTGCAGTTTAAACATTTGAAGTTAAATGGAAATTAACCAACTAAGGAAAGTTAGATTATGTGGGATAATGAGATATGCATGTGAATTCACTATTGCATGCAAATTATAGCATGTAAAAAGGAGCAACTTAGTAGGGAACATGTGAGACCCCCACTGTGTGATGTAAAAGGAAGAATAAGTTTATTTGCATGTTATGAGATTGGTGCATTAGGTGGGAAATGAGGAAAGAAAAATGTGGATGCATGCAACTTAAATAGATTAATAAATGATCAAATAAAATATTAGGTAAAGGTGATGCATGAAATAGGATTAGAGGAATAAGGTGGTGAATGAAATAAATAATAAAGGAAGAAAAGATAGGATGGTGAAGGTGGCAAATGGAGGAGTAAAGTGAAGACAGATAATGGACCAATGAGCAAGGGAGGAAATTGGTGGATGAAACTTGAGTGGGGGGTGAATTGGTCCAATGAAAAGTGAGGAATAAATAAAGAAATGTAAGGTGAGGGAAAAGGTTTAGGAGAAAAACCACACCTTTGAGAGAAGAAAAGAGAAAGGAAGGAAAAAAGAAAGAAAAAAAGAGAAAAGAAAGAAAGAAGA